CAGTTTCAAATCATTATTAGACGTTTTGTTTGATTTTAATTCTAGTTCACATGCAGTAGATCCTCTTGATGAAAACTGGACAGTCTGATGTAGCGTTGCTCTTCCAGTTTAATTGTTGCACGGACAGTTTTTTTGCCATTTTTTTTCACCGATGACCAATTCTGCAATTGTCCAGCTTTCTATTTTTGATTTCTTCTATCCTTTTATGTTTTATTATCGTTTCTTTAATTTAAAGGTGCCTAACAACATCACCTCTTTAATCTTGTTAACCTTTGCGTCTCTTGTAAGGCCCTTGATGTTGTTCGCCAGACCAAAGTGGCGCAGCTTCTAGCTGAAGACGTCCCTGGAGGTTCGTTTTCCACTAGCAGTGTGGCATCTTCCTCTCCGTCCTTGAACGGAAGCAGCAGCAAAACGTCCATAGACACCGAAAAAGACGATCCAAACGACGACAAGAAGAACGGAAAACGCGAGAAAACGTTTTCCCGCCTCAAAAGAACGCTGAGCAGCCGCGGTCAAAAGCTGATGGAAAAGATGGGCGGCAGCGGTACACGGCTCCAGCGGTCGTCGTCACGTGACAACCTAGCCCATCATGCCAAGCTGTCGCCGTCAGAGAGGATCTCTCGCAGCACACCTATGCTTGCTCAACCGCAATCCGATCACGACAGGGGGAGGTCGGGGAGTGTTACCACCAGGGGAGCCCCGTTGGGATCTTGACGAGCCGATGCCCTATGGAATCCGTTACGACACCAAGAGCTAGAAAGTTATCTGATAGATTAGACTATTTTCGTCAATACCAAGTTTTGATTCATATGATCATTTCTTTTTTTGTTTGTTTGTCTGTTTCAGTTTAGTATGAACTTGCAGCTATGGTTAACTGCAAGTATCGTAGTTAAATTATGCATGAGAAACTGCTGAAAGAACTGTTTCACGATACACTAACTCTTTTTCTGCGTTTTAAAACTTGCCTTAAACCTGAGATACAGCGCACTAAGCTAGACTGGGGAAGATTGAGAGACTTCGAACGAGGAACTAGAAAACGTTAGGCTGAATTTTACAAGATTAACCACCTGTGCGTAGCGTAGCTGTTTTACCCCCGCCAGTAAAAGCTACAGCTTGTAATAGATCCTACAACAGAAACCTGACATGGAATCCCTGATATCCTTAGAAATAAAGGTGAAAAAAAGAACAATTTTGGGGAGATCCAGAACATTTTGGTGGAAGTTTTACTGGTTGGTAGGAAGACAATCTAAAATTCACTGGTTCTAGCTCTTGAAAACTTTATTTCCAAGAATGGTCACTAAGTAATATTTCCTTACAACCTTAATTTATTCCCAACAGACAGGTGACGGGAATAGGTGTTGTCTTGATACACTGCCAAATTGTCATAACTAACAATAAAATCATGTATAGCAACTAGTGTGGAGAATCGATGTTTCAGTCTTGGTTCTAAACAGGTTGTTTGCCTCTCGATTTTCTTTTCTTTTGTTTTTTGTTTTACTGTATTTATTCTCAGTCGGTGGTGTTTGCTTGTGGCTATGGCCAGCAACCTAGTTGAAATTTACTGCTTATGATCTTCACACGGTCAAAATCAAGATAAACAATATTTAATTATGGCAATCGTGTTAGGAATGCTGTACATAAGTAAGTGGCGTTTGAGAGAAAGAGGTTATGAAATAAATTATCGACAGACTGGGACTCGTCAGTAATCTGTATGTAACCTCCAACTCTTCTCCTCCTTTATTTGTGAACGCTATTCTTTCCCTTGGGAAAATGGGCTGGTAAGGGGATGTGGGAGTGGGGGCGGCGGGGGTAGCGGATGCCGTTCTTTCTCGGGGTTGCCTTGTTAGGTAACGTCTTCTAGCGGCTCCTTTGGTTGTGGACCAGTGTAAGATAGCGAGTGGAAAATGCCGAGGGACTTTTTTTCGGGGGGGGGCGGGCAGCGCCAACTGACAACGCTCTTCTTATAGTTCTCCAGCTTGAGCAAACTCCTGAAGTAGGGTACGTTTTAAGATGTCGTGGAATGTGAGACCCCTGCTGACGCTTTCATCTTGCATGTTCCTCTGGAACTTATGATTTAACGCCTCAACAATCAAGATAGCCAGACGTACTTACCTGGCCTCGAGAAAGTAGTACGGCTACACGTAGGCCAGCCTCGGAGTAGACAAACTTCATAAAAGAACGATTTTGAGAAAGTACCAGTATGGGGTTCGAAACCCAGATTGAGTCTGTTGTTTGTTCTCGCCTTGCCCCGAGGGTTTTTCTCCGGATTTGTCGAGTTTCTTTCCGCCAAAATCAACACTTCTAAATTCTAATGTCTATGTCGATCCAGGAGACGAACCACTCCGTGTATTTTGTTTTATCTTTCCTTGATTGTAAGGGTGTATGCCTGGAAAAGTCACGCTTCCTGGTTGTGTACAGGATCAAGACGTATCGTATAGTAGGGGCTCGCCTCACGCACTGGTCCTCGAGCGTGGGACTCTCGCAGGTTAGCTCCCATATGGCTGTGCGAGCTAAAGTTGCTCAACAACAAGATGGCGGACGGCAGTGACAACACGTGTACTTTTTCCAGTTTGGGTTTAAATAAATGGCTTGTGAAACAGTGCCACGCTGTAGGAATAAAACGTCCGACGGAAATTCAACAGAACTGTATTCCACCAATCTTAGCAGGAAGAGATTGTATTGGCTGTGCGAAAACTGGAAGCGGAAAGACGGCAGCATTCGCTCTGCCGATTCTTCAGAAACTCTGCGAAGATCCGTACGGGATATTCGCTGTAGTTCTCACTCCCACCAGGTAAAATTATGTTATGTAGGTAATCAGTGTAGTTCGTCATGTGAAGGCAAACTGCTTAAAGTTTTGAGGTTCTTGACCCGTAGGTTTCCGTTTCTTTAGAGTCTTGTTCGGATAATTTGTGAGGGTTTAGGGGCACGAAATTAAGTTAATGATTCTTCTGGCCTGGTTGTTCTATCCTGCGGTCAGGCGTTCTTTTTCTCCTTCCCCCTGCTGTGGAAAAAAGAACGCCTGATCATAAGTTATGGTGGCTCAAACTATGGGTAACACTTAAACTCTGGATAAATTACTAGATGTCCAGCGTTTTGAACAAAGTGGGCCCCTGTCTGTGGTGTTACAGAACCCCCCATTGAAATATCTGTTCCGATGACATAGCCCCACAAAGTTCTACACTGTCTAGCCGGCAGGGGAAAATTCAAAACCAGTAAAAACCAGTTAGATACAAATCACTCATATCAGTAGATGTCATCAGTACGTAATTTTCTGGGTCAACTCCCAGGCATTCCCTGTGTTTGAGCTCATTCAGCCTGTGCTTAACCCCAGTTTCTGTAAATGTCAAGTGACTAGGGGTATTTCCACTTGTCCAAGGCTTAGATGGTATTCTATCGTAGGGTTATCTTAAGCATTTTAATTTACCAGTACCCATTTATATACCTGGGTGGAGAGATGCACTGTGAGAGTAAAGTGTGTTACCCAAGAACTCCAGGGGGAACTCCCATATGAAAAGGTGGGGGATGCTCATCGCCTTACTTAAGGGTATAAATCAATGATTGTGTTCTCACGTAGGGTGTTCATGACGAAATGCTGACAATTTTTAGCTGTCAAAGTATCTTTTAGAGTGCACTTGAAGAAATAAAAAAGCTGTTATTTCTGCCATCTATCTCCACCAGACTGTCAAGTCTGGTCTACTAGCCCAGACTCCTTTCCCAAAGAGCAAAAGCCTATTCCATTATATGTAGTATCTTTTATTTTTTTTTAATTTTTTTAATTTTTTTTTTAAATCTCAAGCCACGCTCAGATTGGTCTCCTTTTAGGGGTTTAATTCAAATTTTCAAACGACCATCCCCGACCTTTTCATATGGGAGTACCCTTCCCTGGGCCGAGAACACAAGACAATGACTTTGGGCCAGGGCTTGAACCTGGACCAGTTCAGAGACCACACTATCCATTAGGTCACCATACCCCAAGGATCAACAAAAGACTTCCCCTTATTTAAGCTGCTTATGGAAGTGATAATAACGCTTCTCTTGTAGGGAACTGGCTTATCAAATCTGTGATCAGTTCAGAGTTCTTGGCAAACCCATAGGCCTCAAGGAAGCTGTTATCATAGGCGGTCTGGATATGATGAAACAGGCCTTGACACTTGCTGAAAAACCTCATGTTGTTATAGCAACTCCTGGGAGACTTGCTGACCACCTTAAGAGCACAGATACAGTTGATCTCAAGAGAATTAAGTTCTTAGTTCTTGACGAAGCAGACAGACTTTTGGATCCATCATTTGGTGAAGATCTACAGGTCATTTTTGACAATGTTCCGAAGAAAAGACAGACATTACTTTTTAGTGCCACTCTCACGGATACACTGCAGGAACTGAGAGAGATGTCTTGCAATGATCCATTTTACCATGAAGTCAAGTCTGAGTAAGTAAAAGTCAAATTATCCTCAGCAGCAGTCAGAGCTGACATATTATGGCTATGCTTGTGAAATTCACTTGTGATTGCTTGAAATATTAATAACAATTGTGTTTGTCCCTCATATGACACCCTTGATGCAAGAATGCGGGAATGTTTGAAGGGGTGGAGACTGCGGGCAAATAAAATATATAATTTGTAGTTTTGTTGTTCCATCTTTACTGAAAAAGGCAACTTTTACACCTGCTCAGTTTGCGTGTACACTGTATTTGTTTTGTGTTTCAAATATACCTTTGTCAGCTTTTTTTATTTAGTTTTTGGCAAATTTAGGGGGTTGGCTATCTCTCAATGGTGCTAGATGGGGAAACATACATGTAATTAGGTTACTTTAGTTCTTACACTGTAGCTATCAGTAGAGAGGTTGCAGCCTAACCAAAGTCACTCTAATTTATTTTTTTCAGTATTGCAACAGTTGCCGAACTTGACCAGAAATACATTCTAACTCCTGCAAGTGTGCGAGACTGTTATCTCATTCATGTGCTGAGGGAGCACAGTGAAAATAAATCAGTGATTGTCTTCACGCATACCTGCAAAAACTGCCAAACATTGGCAAACATGTTATGGAAATGTGAACTTCCTTGTGTGGCTCTACATTCACTCAAATCCCAAGGAGAAAGACTGGCTGGCTTAGCTACATTCAAGTCAGGAATAGTCAAGATTCTTGTAGCAACTGATGTGGCAAGCCGTGGATTGGACATTCCCCAGGTAGAACTTGTTATTAACAGCAATGTGCCAGCATCACCAAAAGACTACATACATCGTGTTGGCCGTACAGCGAGAGCAGGGCGTGGTGGAATGGCCTTAACACTAGTGACGCAGTATGATGTAGAGCGGGTGAAACAAATTGAAGCTACTATCAACACAAAGCTTGTTGAGTTTGACACTAATGAGAACGAAGTGCTGCCATTGCTGAAGGCAGTCATGGTGGCGAGAAGAGAGGCTGAGTTGAGAGTCAGAGGAAGTGCTGTGTTGGAAAAGAGAATGATTAACAAGCGAAAGAAACTTCTCCTGGAAGGCAAGGATCCTGATGTGAAGCCAGTGAAAAAGAAAAGGAGGAACAAACATGGGAGAGAAAAAGCAAATTGAAAAATGATTTTGTTTTGAAACTGTGGTTGGCTGAAAGAAGTTGAGGTTTAACAAGGTACATGGCAGAAAATTCACATAGTTTATTTCATGAAATTTGGGCCAAAACTTAGCTTTACTTCTTGACACTTGCTCACACAAAAATTACAAAACTGTGATACTTTGATGTTGCAAAAATTGAATGTACCAGTAAGAAAGTACTCTTTTATTCTCACTGACAGCCTTGCCAAAATTTGTATTACATAGCCCTAAGTCTAGCAGAAATGCAACATGGAGTTCAATTGGAACAACAATATCTGTATACAGCTGTTTCGACAAAGGTTGTGTCACAAAACTTAAGCATACACCACAATGCCGATTGACAGTGATAGTTTATCGTAACTTGATTTATGTTCACAGTGTTTCAGCAAGAAGGAAAGGGAAGCATGAGTAAATGTTTGTGCTGTTTCTTTCTATCACGCTGAAACAACTTGCAGCTTCAATCAAGACACCTTAAGCCACCATTACCCATAATACCTTTTGACATTGTTGCGTAAGCTGATACGCTTTTGTGGGACAACCTTTCTCAAAACAGCTGTTTACCATCAAGAAAGGAGGCTCTGGATAACATAAATTTACTGGTGTGTTCAAGAGGTTGCAACAGAAATAAAAATAAAGCATCTTTCGTCAGTTAATGCACATGTTCCTGCAATGAACCAGCTTGAACTTGAAAATGTCAGTAGTCTTAGAGTTTTATTATAACAATATTTTATTTCAACTGAAGATTTTGAACAGCTGACTGCGATAACAACTTGAATGAAGTAAACTGAACTAAAAGTCTGAAGATTCCTCGGATTTAAGTTACGGGGGAGGAAGGGACGATGGATTTGTATAAATTTGAGACTTAAA